CTTTTGTTATATGCATTAAATGTATAACTTATATATAATTTTATTTTTATGTAATTACAGTATAATTTAGATTGTATCTGTTAGATACTATATTGATATATTTAATACTACAACTCATATTTCATTATCAAACTATTGATTTAACATAATATAATATACAATGTATAATAATTAGGTTATATGTTTAAAAATCAAATTACTTTTAGTAAAATTTAAAGACATATTGTAATAAAATATGTATCATATATTAAATATATAATATTGACAATTTATAATTAATTTTGTTGTTCATTTTAATTTTAAATAATAACATTATTTTATCAATGTATAACATATATAAATACATTTAACTATTACATTATAACTAAATTATAAACTTTTTGAAAGTTTTGACATTTATAACTTATTAGCCACTTTGCTTATAATTACATAATAGGTAAGCAGTCTATAGACTATTATTTGTATAAACATTATAACAATTGAATAATAATACTCTGAATCTTTGAACTCAAAATGATCTATAATTAATGATTGAGATCTTTCAACCACTTTGAGTAAGGAGTCGATAGCACTCAACAAGAGTTCACTGTCTATTTGATCCGATGAATAAATTTCAAGTAATTTATCGGATGGTATCACATCAAAAATACTGGTGTTATTGACGGGAACTGTAGTTAGAGAGCAACGATCGAAACCATATACAGTGAGGACTGTAGCCGTAAACCCAAATCTTAAATAATTTATGTTTGATATTATACGAAATATATAAGGCATTTGTTTAATTAGTATTAAAAATCCTTTAAGTAAATGTTAAAATGTATATAAGTTTTAAATTTTAAAAAATGTTTATAACAATAATATAATACCAGAAAGCATAACCAACGGCACAAAAGATAACATCCCGAGAAAAGCTACGGCAGTCTTATAGTCCGATAGGGTGGAGCCGATTAGGAAACCTAATGCACTCGAGTTAAACGATATCAATATAAAAATAAATGAAAAGTTTATGAGACGCCAAACACCATCACCCATGTACTGCCCGGTTAGTACATAAAGCGGAATGGCACCCAAGTTAGGCAATATCAATGAAAACGGTATATCACTCAAAACTTTAGCCATAAAATAAGAAAAACACGAATAATAGCCATTTCCATATTCCTGTTATAAAAATACCAAAAAATCTTAATATTTAATCTATAAATAAATAAATACAAACCTTTAAAAACACATTTAATTCAATTGGAAATATTAGGAGCACTGGGAATATGCTAAAAAACCAGGCGGACAGACATATAAACGCCAGTCCCGCACAGTTCTCAAACAGATCGTTAATATGGGCCTCCATTCGGGCCATTAGATTACCGCCATCTCTGAAATTGATTTCATTGGAACAGCCCGATAGTATACCGCTGTCGGGTCCAAAAAAGGTTACAATTTGCAAAGTGGTTAATGTATAGCCACCCACTTTCAACCATAGCATAAACGGATCCCTGAACATTGTCATCAATGATCTGAATATTTAGAAAAATAAATAAATAATTTTATAACTTTTATTTGTTATACTATAAATAATTTAATTAACTATAAATATATGCCTAATAGTCAAATAGTAGATATCTCTTAATGTCCTAAACTCGTGATTTGTATTGATTTTGTATTTATTTTCAGCCAACAGTTTGGCCTCTGTCTGTGCCTTTATGGCCAAAAGTTCCAGTTTTTCGACGCCGTGCTCTTTGGACGCCACTTCCAGTGCAAAATCGGACGGATTGGTAAACTCTGGACATTGAAATCCTACTTCACTTAAAGTCAATCGCAGCGATAGTGGCGATCCATTATATATACACTGGCCGTCAGCTGACAGCAAATATATGGCATCAAACAAATTAAATAGCTTAGCACTCGGCTGATGAATGGTCAGTACTATGGCCACCGGTTCAGGCTGTTTGGTCAAATCAATTAAAAGATTTATCAATTGCCATGTAGTGACAGTATCCAAACCACTGGTTGGCTCATCTAATATTAATATGTTAGGCCTTGAGACTAATTCCAGTGCTATAAGTGCCCGCTTGAGTTGTCCACCGGAGCACCGGTTGGGTCTATTGTCAGCACATTTCTCAATCTTAAGTATTGATATAACATCTTCAGTGATACCTTTGTGGTCAACCATTGACTCATTTTTTAGTTTGGATGCAAATAGTATGGACTCACGGATTGTTAGTCGCGATAATATATAGTTATCCTGTTCTATGAATGCAAACTTTACCTATTATTTGATGAGTTTATGTATTATTAAAAATTAATAACTTATTTTCAATTATTATTTTGTAAGAATTATTATTTAATTTTTATTTTTAATATATATATATAAAATTTATTATATATCTAAATACATTATTCACATTCTATTGTAATTAATTTGTAAATATCTTTTTTTTTAATTAACAATTTTGTTTGAAACCTTACAATTTATATTAGAAATATTAATTATTAAATAACTTTTTTTTATATAATAGTAGAGTATGAGTTAAAATAATATGAAAATGTTTTGAAGATAAAATTAATTAATAATGTATATAATACCAGTTTATAATAGCATACAGTAAATATGCAAATAAACTTTAAGTCTATAATACATTACAGTTTACACTAGTATTGGCAGAGACTATATGTTTGTATAATACAAAGCGTATAATTATATAAAGAATAATAATTATAATTTATATTTATATTTATATTTACCTTTAAAATTCAATTAGGGGTGGTTCACATATTACGTTCGCAGTTGAGGGGAGGGGATTGGCCAAAAACGATTTTTAAATTTTTTAAATGACTACATGAGAACAATTGCGAACATAGGGGAAGCAGGGGTCTAGATTTTTTAAAAAGTGCGAACGTAATATGTGAATCGCCCCTTAAGATGAAAAAATTAATGAATATTATATGGATAATAAGTAAAAATTTTAATAACAATATTTAATAAAGTAATTAAAATTATGTTTTTTTTTGTAAATTAGTGCTATCATTGCTATTACTGTTCTGCTGCAATAAAAGTGAGAATTATACTGTATTGAAAAGTAACTTTATATTTGTGCGACCCATTGTAATATTTACAAATTTTGTTTGTTGACAAAATATAACAGTCATTACTAGTCTTCAATTGTGTTAATAAATATTTGTGATATCTCTTGTGATGGAACCGTTAGAAGGCCTAAACTCACATGACGTTCGGGTGAGATATGCCATGGAATATGAATATCGTCGTAACTCCACCATCAATAGCCGCAGCAAATATAAATGAGGTCTACCCGAAAGCCGTTGGTGAGAGCATTGTTATCGTTGGTGGAAGAGATGGAAAGAAGAAGGGGTTAATGTAGAAGACAAAGAAAGACCAGGACAACCATCGAAGATTGACAACGAAGTATTGACGGATCTGATTGAAATGAATCCGAAATTTTCAACTAAAGAGCTCGGGATATACTTGATAATGCTATACCATCCAAAGACATTTGAAAGCCATTGGCAAGAGATATGTGTCATCTGTTTTGGTAACACGATCTCACTCCTCATAATACAAAACGTGTAGAAGTTTACAATTGCTTTCTCGAGAGAATATGACGTTTTATAAGACATATGATAACCGGTGATGAAAAGTTATATACTATGTCAACGCTGATAAAAGGAGTAATGGAGAAGTCAGGAACAACGACCTGTTGGGACACCGCGACCAGATTTTCGTCAACAGAAAGTAATGTTGTCTGTTTGGTGGGATAAGACAATAATCCACTGGGAACTGTTGGAAGTCGGAGCCACTATTACAGCTGAAGTCTATTGTCAACAATTAACAAGACTTCGTGATAAGCTTTTTTAAATGGTTCATTGATAAGATATTGGGGCGTTAAGTTTCAACAGGATAACGCCCCATCACATACTGCAAAGAAGACCAAAGATCTATTGAAGGAGTTTGGGTGGGATGTTGTGGATCACCCGCCATATTCACCAGATATTGCTCCTTCAGATTATTATTTGTTCCGATCAATGCGACACTTTCTTGATGGAAAAAAATTCAAAAATCGAGAAGAGGTCAAAATGGCAGTTCAAGAGTTTTTCGATTCACAACCAGAGGAATGGTATTCCAAAGGAATTTATGAGTTGCCGAACAAATGGAGAGATGTCATAGATTTAAATGGCGATTATATAATTAATTAATAAAAATTTACTTTTTTGTAAAATCAAATTAAAAACTTGCTATTTTATTCTCATGATTATTGCAGCGGATCAGTATATACTGTATTTAAAGTCATTAAAATTAATTGAATAACTTATTTAGGTTAATGTTATCACATACTGTATGTAATTAATTAATTACTATATTTATCAATAGACTGATATAAGTTTTATTTCAATAATATGATTCATCAAAACATAATACTATGAATTTTTGACTATCAATACATAGATTTAATTACCTTAATGTTAGTCGATATAGTTATAGATCCGGTCACACCTTTACGTTTCATTCCCGTCAAACATCCTAACAGTGATGACTTACCGCAACCGCTCGGACCCATAATACCGGTCATTTGTCCGCTCATGAATGAACCGCTAACACCATTGAGTATAATACGTGTCATTGATTTAATCCATGAGCGCTGCTGTTTGGCCACATATGTTAGGTCCTTCCACGTCACCCGAAACGGTTCCAAGTCGTGGTTAGACGATTTGGATTTAGACAAAAATAGTTTACGTCTAGAATTGGCAATATCTATATCACCAGCATCCAGGTCTTTTACAGTCAATGTATTGACATTATTACTAGTTTTATCACTATTTAACATTTTCAGTTAAATAATGTTAAGTTAAATTAATAAATATGTTGTATTAATTATCCATTAAAATTTATTTGTCYTATTATTGAATAATTAAAATTAGCTAAAAGTTTATATATATGATGCGTAATAATAATAATAATATTAATAGTTATTTTGTTAGTAAATATTTTTTTAAGAATATACAACTTTCAAGTCTAATGTTATATTGAATAAGATATAAAATTTTAAATACTGTAGTTATAAACATATTGACTAATAATAATACATTATTTATTATTTATAATACAGTAAAGAAATATAAATTTTATTAATGTATTTGACATTTAAAATAGTAAATATACTAACATTGCTTAAGTTTTCGTATTAAAATATATTTAATACCTCTAGACATGCAAAATATAAATATATCTATTTTTATTTAAGTCACAATAATATGATTTATATATAATTATAAGTTAATAAAATTAATTGTTTTATATATTCACAGACAATCTAATTATTTATTACGATCAATATTACAAAAAAAACATATTTTTATTTAAATATCATACTAATATAAAAAAGTCAATAATTATCAAAATTTCCATTTCAAATGATAATTACATTTTTAATATTAAAACAAAGAAATAAATTATTTACAACAATATAGTAGTATACTGAACTACAGTATATAAAATTATAAAAATATAAATATCAACATAATTTTACATAAATAACATTTTTTAAATAAAAAAAATAAATAAAAAATTTATAATCAATTTAAATTATTAGAAAAAAATTAGACTCTAGATTTAATTTTTCTTAATAAAAAATAATAACCTAATAATCTGAGTGCAATAATGCTAATTGTCATCATTAGAAAAGCAAAATAGTAATCAAAATTAGTTAATTTGAACCGATTTAACACAACTGAATAGTTTTGATCGGACAGTCCTAACATAAGACTGTCCATATTCTTCAACAGTTTGTCGACATTGACCTTATCGGACATAACTGAATAGATTTCTAGGAGTTTCTCATCGGAAATATGTGTCATAAGCGAATCTATAGTGCTATTCAATCTTCCCGGTCGACACCTACCGAAACCATATATGTTTAGGAGAACAGCCTCTAAAGCGTACTTCCAGTAGTTTATATGGCAAAAGTATTGAAAATAAAATGGTATTTCCTCAATACTGATCAATAATCCTAAGTTTTTTTATTGAATAATATTTTTTTAAAAAAATAATTACCAATTAAGTTATAATATTAATTACCTGATAGTAACATCATAGGTATAATACTTAGTAATCCAATGAAAGCACAGGCTAATGGATTATCTGGTAGTATAGCACTGATTAAAAATCCATGAGCACTGGCATTGAATGAGATCAGTATGAAAATAAGGGCAAAAGTGTATATACGCCACCAATCAGCAGAATATTGACCGGTAAGATAGTAGACAGGTATTGAGCCTAAGTTTGGTAACACTATCTGAAATGGTATATCACTTAACGCTTTTGACATAAAATAAGCAAATGCCGAATAATAGCCGTTACCGTATTCCTAATAATTATTATCATAAATATATTATAATTAAAGTATAAGAAATATTTTATTTTAAATAAATTATTTATAATAATAATAATAATTTAAAAGATAACAAACTTTTAGAAAGACATTCATTTCTTGTGGAAATATCAATAAAACTGGAAATATAGACATAATCCATCCAAACACACAAATAAATCCAATGCCGACACAGTTTTCTAAAATGTCGGCTACAATTTCCGTAAACTTTTTCATTAGATTTTGACCGTCACCTATATTGAAATCTGATACACAACCCGATAGTATACCACTGTCCTCGCCATACATGGCAGCAATCAATACGGAACATGTTATATATCCAGTTATCTTCATTAATATAAAATACGGATCCCGTAATACTGTTACTATTGATCTAAAATAAAGAAATTTTTAATTTATTTCTATATATATATTTATAATTAATATTAGTAAAATTTATACAGTAGAACTATAATACTAATAAAATATGTCAATTATTAAATTAATAACTTTCAATTAACTTTCAGTTATTATACTAAAGTATACATATATACTAATTGTTATAAATAATTAAATTTTTAAAAGTAGTAATATGTAATATGTCTTTAAAAATTTAACAAAAATAAACAATTATTCAACAAATACCTTATAGTCAATAGGTATGTCTGTTTGAATGTATTATTCTGTGCCTTAATCCTAATATGAAAATCATTTTCCTCGATATCCAAGGCATCAATTTTGTTAACCGTTGATAACATCATAACTTTGGCCAATCCGTGCTCACCGGTGGACACTTCGAGAGCAAAGTCTGACGGATTGGTAAAATCGGGACATTTTAATCCGTTGTCGGCAAACATTTTCAGCATTTTATACGGAGAAGAGTTATAAATGCATTGACCATCAAATGATAATAGATATACGATATCAAACAGACTGATCAGTTTGGCACTCGGCTGATGAATAGTGAGCACTATAGCTACCGGTTCAAGTTGTTGAGTCAAATCTTTTAGTGTGTTAATTAGTTGCCAAGTGGTTACCGAGTCCAGGCCACTGGTTGGTTCATCCAATATTAATATGTTAGGCCGGGACACCAGTTCCAGTGCAATGGATAACCGCTTAAGTTGACCACCGGAACACCTATTGGGCATATTGTCGGCACATTTAGTTATGGACAACTTTTCCATAACATTTTTAGCTATCATTGAATGGTCGGCATAGGACTTGTTTTTTAATTTAGATGCAAATACCAGCGCTTCCCGTGTAGACAGTTTGTTCAATAAATAATTGTCTTGAGCTATAAACGCAAACTTGACCTAAAAATGTTTATTTAATTAGTTATCAATACTACCGGTATTAAGCATCTGAAGTATTTTAGATAATCTTTTAATTATTAATAAAATATTAATACAATATTTATTTATGTATTTACAAATATGACTTACTTTTCGTTTAGTAGATATAGTGATAGCACCGGAGAGACCAGTTTTGCTATATCCACAAATACAAGACAACAGAGACGACTTTCCCGATCCGCTCGGGCCCATAATGGCCATGATTTGGCCACTTTGGAAACTACCCGATACATTGTTCAATATTGTCCGTTTGTTATCGTTTACCTTATAAGACAATCCTTTCCAAGTGACCCGAAACGGCTCCAAATAGCCAGTAGGCGGTCGACGGACAGTATTATCAATTGTTATAAAGTTTTGCGATATAAATATATTTTGTTTGAGTTTATTATGAGTTAAATCAGAGTCAATATCCACAATACCAGTCATTGTAGAGGCGTCACTGGTTTTAATTTTATCAAACATATTTGTATTATAATTTACAATTTTATTTTAAATATATTTTATTTTTTTATCAGATAATTAATATTTTAAGTAATTATTTTATTAGGAAATGTCATTTTTATTTTATTTTTTATTTAACTAGAAATACGTTAAACTAGAAATATTATATTAATATATATATATATATGTATACAGTATATGAAAAGCAATTAAAATTATTTTATAAATACCATTCCARGATATTTAAATTATTTATTGCCGAAACTTATAGTAATATCTATACTAATAAATATCATATATTATAAATAATTTTTTCTAAATATAATAGAGTTTTATTTGTTGTTTTTTTTATTGTTATTTTATAATACTTGAATATATTTATATAAATATTATAATTATATTAAGTACAAGTAATTTTTTGAATAATTTATTGTCATATCGTGTACCAGTAATATATTGTGTGTTTAATTGTCATTAAGAAATAAAATATCATTAAAAATATATTTGTTGAAATATATGATAATAAATATTAATTTTTTTATCAAAATAAAAATAGTAAACATTATATGCAGTTAAGTTCAAGTTTAATAATAATAATAACCAAAGTATTGATTTATAATTTTTAAATTTTTTCTAAGCTATAATCACTATTTATTTAAATAAACACAAAAATAACATATATTCAATAAATAATAAACAATTAATAAAAATTTCTTTTATATGTAAAATGTACACCAAATATTTTAGTATTTTTGCACTATATTTTATTAATTGACATTTTTTGAAAAGTTGAAAAATTAAATCAATTAACATTGAAATTGCAATAAATGTTTAATGTTTTTTTTTATAGAAAACTATGATTATATTTTTATGATTAATTTTGTAAATTTTATAACGAAATGCTAAATCTATTTATAATTTATTTTAGTATTATTAATGTTTAATAATAATAATTATTTATTTAATGACATAGCAATCTATAAATACTGTACTAAAATCTTTATCTTATAAGTCGTATATCAAAAAATATTGTGTACTAACATTTTAATACAGTATATGAACTAAAATATTTTAATATTATTGAATTATTAAAATTAAATATAAATTATTAACTAATAATACAAAAAATTGTATTTTAAAATTAATTCATCTAATATTAGAAAATTTCTAACTTTTTTTGTCATCAAATCAATAAGCGTTAAGTAATAAATAAACAAATAATTACTCAAACAGTAGTCATTATACGTTAATTAATTAAAAATTGATATATAGTATAATGTAATATAACAGTATAACTATCATATCTTATTTATTAATATTAGAAAATTACGTAATTAGACTTTAAATATAAAAATCTATAATATGATTGAACTGAATCACAATAATGTTTGATTTAGACAATAAAGAAATTATATTGAAATCAGTGATAAAGTTATCATTTTTTTAAATGACAAAATCCAGTGTCTAAACGATTTATTATATAAATAACATTTTATTTATTATATATTATATTTATATAAAATGTTGTCTATGCTAAAATTTAAGCATTTCATTTTATAATGTTTAAAATTTATTTTAAATATAGAAATTTACATTAAATTATAAATTAAATTTGATTTTTTATAATTTAATTAAACAAAAATTTTATTAAACAATTAAAATACGTTATATACAAATATCAATATTATTAATTTTTAATTAAATAAAACTATACATCATTATATATTCATTGTAACAAAAACAAGTTTGGCGGGGATTGAACTCACTACCTATTAATTTATCAACATTTTTATTCTAAGTAAATACTATACTAAAATACAATAATATTACTGTAAATTATATATCAATAGTAAATATTTTAATTGAATATTATTATATTCTAACTATAATTGTAATTATTATTATTTTTAATAATTGAATCTGGATTTACAATTAATTTAATTTTTTCACTTCTACGACGATTATCATAGACTCCTTGTGTTGGTATCGGTTCTGCTTCACCAACCGGTACGGGCTCTATGACTGGTTGGGCAATGGGAACTGTTATCGGTATATTAACATGTATTGGTTCTGACATTGTATTGGTATCGTCATAACCACTATTGGTGTCACCGTAAGGCACTCCCACATACTTAATCTGTGGCCTTTGTTTGACATAAACCACTTTGGGTTTGGATTTTTGGTAAAACGATTTAACTAAGTACTCAATAAACGGTATCTTAATTCTAATACTGGGTATTAGACTGTCCACTAATTTCAACAGTTGACCGGCCAATACTATTGGATGTTCGAGTTCGGGACCGGCAGATATGACTTTGGTTTTGGTGCCGACCATTCCGTGCACATCATGAACGATGTGTTCGAGATCAGGCTTGAGCTCATGAAACGAACGGTGCAAATACTTAATCTTCTGGTGAAACGGATCGGGTGTTTCAGGGATCGGAAATTTGTTGAACTTTTCATAGATCTCTTCCTTGTCTTCACTGAACGGCCAGAAATGCTTCTTCTTGTATGTCTTTTCTTCGCCAAACTTGTAATCTCTGACCGCTTTGTAATCGGGATCTCCGATATCGTCTGTGGTGTCCTCCAAGTCGTCATCACTTCTTTCGTTGTACTCATTATACTCTCGTTTGTATTTTTTGTACGATTTTTTGTGTTTATACGGCTTATTACCGGACAAGTCCTCCAAACCGGTCACTCGATATATAGCTGTTGGTGGGTTGGACTTCATTTCTATAATTAAATAATATATATATTTATTAAATAATTCATTACAAGTAATTATATAAATATTAAATGAAAATTTAAATATTATAAATAATTAGTTGTTTACTGACATATTGTACTTTATATTATTGTAATAATCTTTTTTTTGTAAAATTATTGATATATTTTTATAATAATAGTTATTTCTTTATTTTGTTAATCTAAATAAAATTTGTATGAAAATAAAAATTTAGAGTTATATTAAAGTTTAATTTATTCAGTTTTTTGTTAATTTTGATAGTATTTTAAATATTTACTGTATTGCTATAACTTATAAATAATAAATACAATTTTCATGTTTAAATTTAAATTATTAATTAGATTATTAAGTCATAGATATAAACACACCTTTAATTCCTCTGACTCCCATTCCCAGACCAATAGCTAATGTAGAAACACGTGACACGCGCTTAATTTTGCGTTTTAATTGTTTGATGGGGTCGTGATTGATGTATTGTATAAGTTTTCGGACGATTACCTTTTGCAAGGGTCTAATCACTTGCGGTGGGAATACATGATGCATATGTATCTTTGGATCACTTAATAGATCATCGAAGAGGTCGTCGTCCAACACTTTTCCCACTTTTTCATCCCTGTCTATTGGGGTCACGGCATTGACTGCGACCTCATTTGGGTCATTCATTTGCATTAATTGAGCCAAAAGTGTTTGTATCACATTAAGCACTGAAACATTACTAATGCTGGAAACGGGTTCACTGTCAGCACCAGTAGTTAATCTAACATCACTGGCTTCAGTAGCTTTAAACCTGTTATTATCTTTTGTTTCATGACAATCAATGTTGACTAACAAAAACAGTAATAATAATAATAATAATTGTGATGGCAGTGATGTTGAAGACAATTGAGAAATTGCTATATAAAATATAAATAATAATTTTTATTTAAAAATTATGTGAATATATTCATACATTAAGTATTACATAATAAAGATTATGATAATCAGGTAATAATTGTCAAAAATGATTTTCTGAATGTTCTAAAAATAAAACTTTATTTACTATATTTGTATATTTAATGATTTTATTTATAAAAGAAATTACTAAAAAATAAATATATTTGAATTTTAAGAAAAAAAATTTTGAGCTATTTTTGATTTGAAATCCATTTAAATAAATCTCAAAATATTAAAAATAATAGTTATAATAGTCAATAACATTTAAATATTAGTTATATTTATATAATAGTAGTATTTTTATATATTATAATGATTTGAAGATATATGAAAATGGTATACATATACTGTATAAATGCTATAATATTAAGAATAATAAATATTGCATAATTTTAATATTTCAATTTTATTATTAAATTCTATGATAAAAATTTAATTTTTAATTAATAATATTAATTTATATTATCAAAAAATTTACATTAGAATTCAATACACTAATTCAATTAATAATGAATAATTAAAATTTAAACCTGTGAGTTATAGATAAAATCTACTAAATTTGTTATTAGTTTAATAAATTAATTTATATTAATAAATTAAATTTAAAAAATATATATATAACTTACCAAATAATTTCATTTTGAAAAATTAATAAGAAATTGTTTTTTGACAATTTCTTGAATTAAATTAATGTATTTGTATTTGACATATGATTTTTTTAAATTTAAAAATATATTTATATTAAAGAATATTTGACATAATAGTAAATAAGTTATAATAATAATAAACCATGGTAATATTAATAAACATTTATAAAATTAATTATTAAATATTAAAATAATATCACATTTTATTAACACTTAATGTAAACAATTACATATTATCTGAAATATTTTATTGTAAGAAAAAATATTTTCAAAATCAATTCTCTGGCTCTCAATGTTATRACACAAAAGTGAGAAATGGATAAACAAAAAAGTTTTTTGATCCGTAAAAGTATTTGAGAGAGTAATTGGCTTTCAATTGATGGGTTGGAAAAACCGCTATGTTTTCAAAGACATCAAAACATAGAGAAGCCCAAAGAAATAGGGAACGAATAAAAATGACTTATTTCTTATATAATATACGGTATTTAAAGTGAATGAAACTTATTTTCATAAAATGCTAATATATTTAGTGAATAGGCCACCCATTTATTTATTGGATACCACTGAACCAGTTTCACTGACTCAAACACTTGCTAACAATGTTTTTATTTATACTGTATTTAATAACTAATACTTGAAATATTTAGCCAACAAATATT